GTTGGTGGTGCGCAACTCCCGACCTATGAATGTTTCAGCGGTAGAGTGACCTGGAGTTGCTGGATTTTTAGCGATCAAGTGTTACTTACCAACTAGATTTTAATGATCATTTAACGAAGTCGATGGATTATGATAAGGCACGTGTTGCACTTCACTTATATCATCAAAATGTCGCCGACAGTTTCTCACAGAACGCTTATATACAAATTTCACAACAACGGTATTACAGGTTCACTGTTCTAGTTGGAAGCTCATCTCAAACGGTCGAAAGTCAATATGGGCGAGTATCTGTAAGAGACAAGTTATGACTAGTGGCGTGCTACAAGGTACAGCACTCAGCCCTCTTTTTCCTTGGTTAATGCAAATGATTTTTCCCTGCAGTTAGAAATGGTAAACCTTACCTGTTTGCAGATGATAGAAAAACTGCATGCCTTTGAATCTCTACATGCCTTTTATCTCTGAAACACAAAGTAACCTAATCTCACTGAAATAGTGCTGTGTCGGATACTCCATGAAGTTTACAATATCAAAGTGAGCATCATGTGCTATGGATATTGAGCTCCACTGGGATGTTTGGTTTTCATGAAATTCCACGCGTTTAATGTGACTCGGCACGTGAGTTATGCTTCCACTACTCAAGTGCGTCGAGTTTCGAGGAAAAAGTTGAGTATACGAAAGCTAAAACACGACAGACTGTTGGAATGATAGGCTGCCTGTTTATAACAAGATAAGTTAAACTCGTAATTCAAAATAAACGTCGAAGCATCATAAGAGTACTGTCACCGCTTTCGTTCAGATTAGAGGATGCAACACACGTGTAGTCGAAGCTACATTGTGGTCTTTTACGGAAAAAGTTGAGCGTTGCACCACAAGACTCACTTGTAAAGATAAACGCCTTCTGTTAAAAACCGAACCGTTATGGCTTCGAATGACTACGCTAGTTACTATAAGCAGTTATGCTAAGAATCTTCACCGTATAACTTGAAACAAAGACCATGCGATAATTCACCTCGTCGAACAGGTCCACGATGCAAAATCTTTATGCACGTATAGGCCACGCTACGGAATCGATTGCCTCAGGTTATAAGAAGTTCATCTCCGATTCGGACATTTAAAATGCAATCGAAAGTACTTAACCGTTAAGAAAATGAAAGAACTGTATCGCGTTGATTGCACTGACGAATGGGTATAACAGGCCTGATAATATCTAAGCACTTGTGGAATGCGAAATATGATTAAGGATGGGGAAAAATTGCCGATACAAGGGTCAATCTAACTTGCACTCTTAGGCGGGCAACACCCATTTTCCATCTGCTTTGACTACGCTCCCAGTAATCGCAGTAACCAAGGTTCACTACAATGTGAATCGCGGTCCACATTGAGACTGCGTGTCGCGCAAGGCATAGTCCAAAACTGACCCTACAATTGGTGAACCAATCTTATTCTCTTACAAGGAGCTTTCTTTTTGTTATCTAAATTAGCTCGTTATTTCCTCTTCCTACATTGTTACATCCCTCGATATAACTTTAGTTGATGACTCGCAGACTGCCTATAAAAACATGAGCACATCGATAGGTCAAGTAATGAGATTTATCTTCGACTATTTCTTCCACACTGCTTCTTACTCTGCCCTCATCTGGCCTGAAGATCCACTGATAGCTAAGGAAAAATATGTGCACATCAGTGCATCAGATACACTGTTTTGATATATACACAGCCCAATATTCCCCTTTCTCCTAGATGAAGTAACTAGAATAGTCCCAAGGTGGTTCGTCAACGGATCCTAGCTCCTTTCGATTTTTTTCTAAGCGACTGCAACCATCCGAGATGCTTTACAGCACATTTGGAAAAGAACCTATAGAGGTTTATCTAGGTATTCTATGTGATTTTATCGAGGAGCAAACATACCAAACTCCATAGGGACCGTAAAGTTTTGGTCTACCCCATAAACCCATCCTCTGGCAAGTACTATTTCAGTGAGACCATGTCTCACAGTTCACGACTGAAACACGGTATGTGGCAGGCAAGTAAAAGTTTGCCGAAGATGCCTTAACCCGAGTAAATCCAATTACACCTAGTTATAACATCAAGTTGGGAGCAATGACTATTGCACAACAAACCGGAAAGAACGGGCCTTGGAAGTATATCTCAAAGTCACACACGTTCTGCAGTCACGCAAACCTTTGGCCCTACCGTATTCGCACACTCCATAGTTTACCACATTTAGGTATAAGCGCTTAACGTCAGTCGAGTGGACCCGAACATGCCTTTGCCGCCGACAACAGGAAGTCAAAAACATGTGGCTGTGCTTACTGGCTGTTTCCCAACTGCTAGCTATAGACACCTATTTCCGCATAGATATCATTGAGCTACCTCCACATTCTGACAGCATGATCACTTGCTGACAATCATAGACCGGTCTATCAGGTGACTAGCAGCGGTTCCGATGTCACACGTTAGCATGGAGATCGTTCGGACATTTATTAGTAGCTAGGTCTCTCTCGAGATTGGTCCGTCAAGCGTTACGAGAAGGAAAAAACCATAGTACTGTAGAGCGATGTTCAAAAAGCTTTACCATACCACATACTATCACCCGCAGTCGAACAGCAAGGTATCATTTCCAACTCCAGCTCAACGCCATCCTCACAGTTGTGGACCTAGTTTACTGGACAAAGGCGTGACCTACTTTCATGTTAGGCATACACACTAGTTTTAATATCAGTTTACATGTATCCAGTGCCAAACTTCTCTTCGATTAACTGCTTCGTCCATCAGGAGATGACGTCTCTAATGCTTCAGACTATATAGCCAACGTTCGCAAAACGGCTCGGGTCATGCGCGCGCTGTTTCATGCCCACCGATTGTACGAACGCGATCCTACGAGTTGGCGATGTCAAATGAACTCTGGCTCCATCATATGAGGAATCAATCAGATTACTGCGACCAAAGTGTTTGTCATCGAGTATAATGGCAATCATTAGCTTTTGACTAAGCCGTCTAACATTTGTCTATTTCGACAATCCTAGCAGTCCAGCGACATCCACTGGAGTCCCAACAGCATCACCCCGTGCACCGAACACGACTTGATCAGACCGACAGGTGTATTAGCATCGACGCCTCGTACAAACAGAATAGAATTTTGCTTAAACGCTTATTAGTTTTGAAAATGTTCTGTGAATAAAAAAGGGAACAAAATGTGCAGATAACCTAAAAATCTTGTACGGTTAGTTTGGCTTTGATATCCGGTATTGTCATGCACGTTTGTCACTGCAGCTTCCCGCGTTTCAGATACGCCTTATAGATTCAGTTGGGCGTTTACGATGAAGTGCAGCGCTCCAAACTACTTCCAAAAATGTGTCATTTCGATAACGTAGGGAGGGCAAGGTGAGAGTTCGATAGGAGCTATCCACATTAGTACCTTTGCAAAAGATACAGCGGTTGTAGTTCGCACCACTACAAGGCCCAGCGGATTGGTGTGGTGACCTGGTCTCGTAGAAAGGTAGCTGGAGACGAATAGTCCCCAAGTAGATCGAAGGACTGCTAACACAGTCCCTTCTGGATGAGGAACATGCATTAGCCAGGTTATTCCCCCGATATGCCCGTCTGTTGCGCAAAATATCAAGTGAAATCATCTTCCCGTTGTAAACTTAGATGATTGAGAGAATATCGAACTGTATGCTAAACTTGTTTGTCCGACTCGGGAGCAACACATACGGCGACACGGTTGGACCTACCACGCCGCACCAGTACATGGTGCCTAGTCATTCTTCCCTGGCTACTAGCGCAACGTAACGGTGTCTCTTGATGATCTTACACTCCGTCAGTAAGCAGTCGTCCCGTTACTTTCGGGACACCTCTTCAACAATCGGTAACGGTAATCGCCGGTAGCCAGGTGGGTGCGATAAACCTATTACCGCAAGCCAGTCACTTCGGCAAGATAACTTCTGTAGTAGATGAAATGTGGAGTAGGTAACATTCCCCCGACAACCAAGTTTGCCTTCAGCAATTTCATGAACTGATGACCACAAGGTCCCTAATGACTGAATCGAGAGCTGCTAACAGTGTTGACAGGGTGGAAGCAAAGAAGCCAAAAGTCCGTTACCGGAATTCAACTCATAAGCGGCTGCGACAACTGCCAGATTTGATACTTTCAAAGAATGATACGGTAACAGAAGATAAAGAAGTATAGAGAAGCAGAGTCCGAGTTGCATCTCACGATCAAGAAGGAAACAACAAAAGAGAGACGTATCCTGCTAGCTACTTCAAACGCAACATGATTTAGCAATTATAAGCATGGACACAAGGATAGGTGCACTGGTACTATGGGTACGTAATCGTTCATACTGGTGAGGAGAAATAACCAAACATTTGGTAATTTATCCAGAACATACTCAAGAGGTACTACCGATACCTGAAAAGGTTTGGAATGATACCTATGCAAACCTACTGGATTGTGTGCAATAAAGCTGGACATCTCAACGAAGAATGAAAGCAAGCAACGACGGAGGATAGTGACCGTCAGCCGAATGACATCATATACACACACTTTATGGTGACTGTTGGTATGGTTGTCCAGTCGGTCGGTCAACCCGTTCCAGCACAAGAATCAGCTTCAATTGGACGAAACTTCCATTAGTGCTTCCGCTCAAACGTAACGAAAAAGTAACTCATGCAATAATTTGATCTTATCCGATTTTGAAGTCGTATGTAAGGCTAAAGGAAAACATCAGATCTTACAGATGAAGCCCGATACTACCGACTTCCTGTGACATGATGCTTACAAGAATAGAAAGAAACGCTTGCACCTTGTGGAAAGGCTAATGCGTGAAGGTCCACTAACCTGATTTGCCGGTAAGTATATGCTGTGTTTAAGGAGACTCAAGATGGGACAGATGGCAGATGGAGCTGATCATCACAAAAAGCGGTTACATTAGATGACGAAACGGTACTTCATTGCTAAGACTGGCATATTTACAATCAGAAACATTTATGCACAACAATTAAAATTCACGCCGATGATAATTGTCAGGATTGAAGAAGGACGTGACAACAAGACGTTGGTTAAACTTTCGTCCAGTAAGAGCAGTAGCCGCTTTTTGGCAGTCTATGAGACTAGCGAATTCAACATAAATTTTGCCGACGCCGGGAACCTCGACACCTGGAATCGGTCGAGGTATCTCGAGACTGCGCACCACACCATACTTGCTACATTCAGCACGTACATCCTCAACAATATCTTCGTATTCTTCATCGTCTTCTAACTCAGCAGGATCAATCATGTTTAGGAGGCAGAGAACTTCCGTCGGCGGACCACCGCTGCGTATGGTTATGTTCCCAGAGCCCGTAGTGTTCTGTACTAGGGAACTTTCCATACCAGGAAGTTGCAGGAGAGATTGCTGGGCGGTTGTAGCCCCATGTTTAGCGCCTACGCTTGCCCTCTGAACGATCAGCTTCTTATCTCCCAGCTGCATACCATTAAGGCCGGCGCATGCGTGATCCGTTACATTTGGATCAACATATTCACAGAAAGCGTAGCCCTTAGATAGGCCGGTCGATCCATCTTTAACGAGATTAAATCCCTTAAGTGGACCAAAACTCAGTAGAAGCTCCTTTACCTGATCCTCGTTCAGGTAATTGGGTAGCCCACCAACGAAGACTTTGTGTGGAGAATCTTGAACAACTGTGCTTACGACACCAGGAACGATAACGGAAGGAGTCTCAGAAACTCCCGGTAGCGGTGCGTAATCACGGGGCCTCCGAAGTTTCAGAGCTTGGTTGTGGAAGAGCACGCCATCAAGAGCTAGACCCTGAGTCGTCTCATCCACCGAACGGAACTCAAGAAAAGCAAAATTTTTCTCCATATTAATTTGGACAGCAATTATAGGATTACCTTCGGCTTGGATGAGACCTTGTGCGCGCATCTGTTTGTTGAAAAACTCCATCATATTCTCCTCGGTGGCAGTAAACGGAATGTTGCCTACATAAAGACGTCGTGCCTGACGGCATACTGCGCTACCAGCGAAAGGAATGTTCGTTGTCAACGTAAGAGGCGCGTTAGGTGCGTGTGCTGGCATGGGGATTTGACCGGCCGCATACACATTAACTGGGATCTGTCCGGATGCCTGCATCGCCTTATATTGAGCAGGCGTAACGTGCTCAAAGCCCGGTGGTGGGACATCCCAATACTTGTAGATAAGTGGAGGACTATTTGAACGGTGGCGCGAATGGCGGCGCTTGGATCGATGCTCACGGCTACGATCACGACTGCGATCCCGATGACGGTCTCGACTGTGTCTCCTCCATTCACGACTCCGGGAACGTCTTTTATCCCGTTTATGATCACGACTGCGGGTTTCTCCACTTGAATCACGTTTGTGATGTCGGGGGGAACGATCACGGTAAGTCTGCTGAGCTGTGCCACGGATATCCATTTCTGTTCCATGGTTGTAGACCGCGTATTGGTCAGATTGCCCGTTGGTTGCGGAGGTAGACTGTACTCCAGCGTCGTAACCGGAACTAGCAGCCGAATAGTCACCCACGGAGTTGTACACTTGGCCGTAGTAATCTGCCATCGTTGTGGAGGAAAACCTAAAAACGACATTTTAAAGCAGGCTAAAAATGAAAAACAGAACACTAGTAAATAGTTTTATAAACCAAACGACTGTTGACACCATATTTTAAAAGATAGTAAAGGTCGATATAAAAATCACAAGAACATCCTAATTCTGTTGCAGTTAACAAGTTTAAATTATTGTGTTCAAAAAATACTGACGGTCAGTTTAAATAAAACGCCAAATCTAAGGACTGCAAATATGTCGCGAGTTTCGAGAGACGGGAGAGATTAATTAATGTTTCAAACAAGAAAATCAAAAGATGAAGTTTGCGGGACGACACTAGCATTACGTGCACTCTCGTCGTCCACGAACGTGTGATTTCATGTGACCATATTTTGGTTCCTTTGTTATTTGCATGTACGTGACCGAGGAGAACGTACGAAGTGACAGTGTCATCCAACAAACTTTGTTTTCTGGCTGTTATTTGGAATCACAAGGGGAATGTTGTATTTCAAAATACTTAATATCCGCTGATAGCTGTTGAGCAACGATCTGCATTGGTCTAGTGAGTGCTCGTATCATGCAAAAACCAGACAGGTATGTCGTCCGCGTGCTCTGATTTCGTCAGGAGATCGTTGCATCATTCGTTGCAGATGAGCCAGACAAATGAAAATCTAGGAGACAATGAGATATAGAACTTAAGTAGTGCACCCGCTTATTATGGCCAACTCAGGGGAAAATCATGTAGGGAGAACACAGCTTTGATATGTGGAACACATTTCAGAGTAACTCTTTCAAAGATAGTAGTAACAAGAGTGTGATAATGCGGACCGAAAGTAGATTGCAAGATGATAAGCCGTCTGCATAGGCAGCGCTGTTGCAATAGCTGCAGTCGAAGAGCTGTCTAGCGCATTTCAACATGGATTTCCTTAGCTTTGTTCGTCTGGAGACACGTGAGCCGTCACAGTATGCAGCTTAGAAGAAATTTAGAGAAAGGCCAACTAAAAGTATCGCCTCCATTTTGGCCCACTTGTTATATGTATATATGTATAAAACACTATACCAATTACAGCATAATTAGCTGAGCCCCGAAGGCGGTCACCAGGGAGCAGTTCAACACAGAAGGACTCAGTTATCCAGGATCTCATCCATGGCGAATGTGAACAAGAATGGAGAGGCTGGGCAACCTTGTTTAACACTGCTACCAGATAATTGTAAATATGGCATAGTTGTGGAAAATTCTGGTGTGTCTAGTAGCGAATTAACATAAATTAAGCCATTACCTTCTTTCGGTAGAGATGAATCAAAATAGCTGGATCCAGACAACATGTTTCACCTCAAAGCGCAGGACCTCTGTGGTGATCGCAGCAGCGATGCCAAAGTCTTAGACAGGCTGTTAGTTCGCTGGGAACTGAGATAATAACCGGACTACTCGGCCAGGTCAGCACGCTGACGCGGAGGAAAGTGAACCAACTGCCAATACTTGTTTCAACAAGGTCTTACATGGAGCTACACTTGGAACGAGTCGGAACAGTACTCGGATATTCCAGATAGCATAAAGCTCCTCATTTCACGGATCAGCGAAAACCACCAGGGCACTCCATAGGGCCTGATTCTTCGTCAGGTGCCATTTAATTGTTGCAGATGTGTTGAAACAAACGCCTACTACACTGTGTGCAAATTTACTGTTCTTGAAATTCTCACCCTGGGTAAGTCTTAAAAGAGATAGGCAAGCGAAATTCAGTTCATTCACGCAAAATTGGAGATGAGCAGCCGATATTCAAGTCATCAAGTTAGTTTGCTAGCGACAAACAATGGTCCTACTCGGATATACGGTGCTATGCTGTGGATTCAGTTCAGGTCTCGAGGGAGGTACGTAAACTAAGAGCTTCGACGATTCCGAGTGGGTGGGCGAAAAGCGAAGAACACCAAAGAATCTGTTCGGTGACCGAAAATGTCATCAAGAGTGCGCCGAAACATAGTACCAACACCTCACCGCAATGCGATCCCAATTAGTCGCGCGATGGCTGTGTTCATCTCGCGGATCTGAACCGGCAATTTCAGGATAATAAAGCAGCCGTGGTCCTTTGGGTCGACCCAAACTGCTGCTCTGATGTGTGCTGATTGCAAACTGGCAAGATAGTCCATGTGAATCCAGAACAATATAACTCGGTAGCGGCAAGTTAACAGAAGGTATGTCCGTGATGGAAAGCAGTGCTGCTGGGTAGTAGAATGTGATTACCAGTGTGAAAATCTATTGCCAGAAGTGGCACCATGCGTACCCACCCACAGTCGCCGTATTCTCACTGTATTACAATCGGGCTATTAAAGCAAAGGTCATGTCGCCAGGTTTCCTTCAGAATGAGGAGTAATCTTGGTCTAAGCATCATCTACAACAGCACCAAATCAGTTAGGTGAAATCATACTCCGTTGTCGTACGACCACAATAATCTGAGGAAAAAGCACAGTATAAGAAGGAGTCTTAGATCTGTCTCTTTGTATACGATTCCGACTGAACCGCTCTCGTTTTCTGTTGGCTTCGAATCCAAGCAAAAATCAGAAGTCAACGTTTGGAGGCAAAAGCGCGTTGCAGAAACACGTACCGAAAACGAGTATAAGTAGTGTAAAATTAATGGACATCAAAAAGTACCCCAAGAATGTTCACATCTCAGAACAGCTAGGCCAGCTGCCCTGATTGGTAGTACAGATCCGCGATCCAATGGTAAGGCAAGTACGCACGGCTGTACAACATTGGTTTAAATCGTACTCCCATTGAACGAATGAGTCTTCCTGGGAGATGTTGCGTCCTCCCTGACAGGTAAGTAATCTAGTGCAACATAAAAATCGCCCTAAGCAAAGATCCAGTCAAAACGCCACTTTCTCAACGACATACCTTCATAAACAGCAGATTACCGTCACAATCAGCCATCAGTCCACAGATAGCACCAAACACTTTAAATAGGCACCCCGACTAGGAGACGACATCAGATGCACCATGTCCCGTAACGTCTCGAGCCAAACACTATCGCGTAGATATCAGCTTAGAAGGTGAGACGGATAGATATAACTCAGTCGTCATCAATGGCATTATAAGCTGCTACCAAAACAACTTTTGATCCTCTCCAGCATTGCACTGTCCTACATCCCAAAAACGAAACAAGCGGTGACTGGGTGCATGTAACACATGCCCAAGCCAGAGCAATTTAGTTAATGTTTCCTATCATTTTACGGAACCAGCCTGATTATCCCTGCGTAGTTCTCGCCTACGAACATCATTGTTGAGGACACGCTCCTCTCAGCCGACACCAGAAATGCTAAGCAGCTAGCAAATATCAAAAAATTAAAGGCGCCTCGGATCTTCAGAATCTCACAGGTTTAGTGCCCTCATTATGGCCCTGTACACACGGCCTTTCAGATTGAGTGCGTCCCCCTTCTGACGCCATGGACGTCGAAATAGGGGAACTAGCAGCGCTTCAGTCTTTTTTCAGCAGGTCGATCCTACCCAACGATTTTTGGTGGGACAATCGTAAAACGGGGTAGCTCGTGCTCCCTCCAAACTAAGCTGACGCTATTCAATTCAATAAGGAAAATAATGATCCCCATTCGTACTGCTTGCAGCAGCAATGCGAGTCAGGCGACACTAACAAAATCTTCCAGGGACCCGGATTCCTTTGCCTTCCGAGTGTTATCTCACGATTAAAACATCTAGGATCGAAAAAGGTCAAGCTATGTAGTGACTCTAATCTAGCGATATGCTAATGCATGCAGAAGTCGGATGTCTCCCTCAAGATAAAAGGCGTAGCCCGGAACTGGTTAACGAGTGTATACGTGTACCAAGGAACTCGTGCTTCAAAACTACAGACTCGGTGACGAGTGTGAGCAGTATGCTCTCTACAAGGGGCTGAGAAGAGACGGTATGTACTGCCCCCGGGGTACAGATTTTGCTTTAGTCTTAGAACTGACGTCAAAAGCCAGTTTCAATTGTACCACCGATTTGTGGTATAACCGAGCTTAGGACTGAGGTGGACAATATTCCACAATGCTACAGAGCATTTTACAGAGCAGAATAAGTGGGACCTACTTTCCTTCCATTCCCGATTAGTCACGTGGCCAACGCTGCTGATGCATTTGCCAAAGTAAGTGAATTGCACAACTACTGCGAGCTCTACATTATCAAGGGGTTAGTAGATGACTGGCGACCCTGAAACACCACGGCACCCTGGAGGTGGGAAGCGCGTATTTCTAGAGATTTTAGCCATTGTTGACTGGCCCACACCAAGATGATTAAGCAGTAGAACAATAGCATCCGCGCAATCAAGATCAACTAGCTTCCAACTATGCAGCACCTCAACGCTTGCGTCGTGAGGTTCCGCAAAGGATTATTTCAAGATAGAGTCCATGACAAAGATGAACAAAAATAGGAAAATGGAGGAACGTCACATGTAGGAAAGACACCTAAGAAGTTACCGTAAGAGGTTCAGACACAAAATAGGTAAGCTAATCCATTAAGAAACCGGCGTAAGTATTTCGGACAGAGTGGACCGACGGACTGAGTAGAACACTTGGATTGAGGGAATACAGCTAAAATCGGTCTGCAATACGTGTGACGCTGCTATAGAAACTGACGCAGAGTGAGTAAATGACCTATACAACCCAGCCCTGGTTGCAAACCTGTTTGCTCTTCCCTAAATCGGGATTCTCAATTTGCGAGGAAGCAGCGAACGTGAATAAAAGCCAGTAATTTTGTCACTATTGGCGTTAGGTGGTCACAAAAATTTGGTGCGACTATTGTGTTCATACAATGCCACTATGATCGATTCAATCCAGTTGACTCGGCTGGCCCATCCTAGGTCTGTTCGAACGAGCGGTCATCTTGCTGGTGACATTCAGGAACAAATTTCTTGCTTCACTTATCCAGGGAGTTGCGTCACCGCTGGTGGCCGTGTTAGAGGTGAGGTCTCACAACAGGCCTGACTTACATACATCAAACTGAGTCACCTATAGTGTCGTCACGATTT